TAAAAGCGAAAAGTGGTCCCGTCTTCTTTTCTGAAATAGTTTCACCAACAGCTGATTTTCTAATACTTATTTCCTAGACAATTGCAGAGGCCTTTTTCCATTTTGTTTTCTTTCATCGCTTGTTGTCTGATATGACATACGATTGGGATATTGGAGTCTCCAACATGTAGCGTGGTGCGCAGTTTCGGAAAACCTAATATAGAATTTCATGAACTGAGTTGAGATGGGCCACAGAACCCATGCAACAACTGCTCAAGGTCGGTTATACAGAGGTTTTTATGAGTGGTTTTTGATGCACTAAATCTACACTTTTACTACCTTACTGTAGAAAACAGAGATCTACTAGACAAAATGAGGTGTGTGACCTCAAGAATTGGCCTTTTTTAATCCCCAACTACCGATGTGAGAACGAAGTGCCGTTTTGAAAACTTACTAGACGAAAACACCTTAATTTCGTCATACCCTAATACAGTATAACTTGCTCCCGGAACATGAGTTTGTTGCTTTTAGTTTTACCACTACCTATAAAACCTGACCTTTATTTTAAAATATAAATGGATAAGTGTTCCAACCGATATAATTCGAGTGGGACATTGCGATAGGCAACCTCTACCACTGCGTCAAGGTACCATCTACGATGGGGTAACTTCCGTTCTTTACATGAAATATCAATTTATTTTATTTTATTTGAACACATGAATATTGGTACAAGAGAGCGCCAATATATATGCGCCACACAAAACAATGAGAATCCGAAGAGAAATAGAGAGAAAAAAAAACTAAGGCGCGCAAAAGAAAAAGAGAACAATAACGAAGAGATTGGTGTAAGGTAGTGTGGTAGTAACGAGGGAACGGAAAGGTACAGTCAGAAGAAATCTTTCAGGTAAGGAGACACAACCACTTTTTATGAAGAAAGTAAAAAAAGGTTACAGCAGGATCACCACTGGCTTCTATTCTGAGACATATCTGATAACGTCTTTAGCCACTGTGTAGCACCATCTCTCAGACCCCAACCAGGGAGTCGTGAAGGACCAACAGAAGCCAGTCCTTTGCAGCTTTCTTTCATGCCACGACACCATGTCATACGCTAACCACTTCTCCGCTTTTTCCAACCAGTCCCAGCGTCGGCAAATAATGCACGACTTGGAATTCTCTAGGACGACATTCGTAGAACATGTCCAAGCCACCGAAGTCGGTGTTTCAAGATGGTGACACCAATTGATTATCGTCTCTGTGCCCAAACACACGATGCCGAACCTCTGCATTACTGACATGGTGTTGCCACTGGATGTCAGCAATCCTTCGGAGACAACGATGATCGAACACAGAGAGTCGTCTAACGTCCTCAACTCGGAGAGGCCAGGTTTCACAAGCATAGAGCAAAACTGCTCTCACCGACGCGTTGTAGATCCGACCTTTTACAGCCAGACTAACATCACGAAGGCGCCAAAGGTGGCCCAGATTGGCATAAGCCGCTCTGGCTTTCACTAGACGTGCATTGATCTCATCACTCACACCCCCACCAGCACTTATGCAGCTACCCAGATACACGAACTTCTCGACTACGTCTATCTGCTCACCATCCAGGGTGAGTACAGGATTAGAATCCTGCCAGTCTTGTAGAAGTACTTTGCACTTCGAAGGTGCAAAGCACATACCATACCTACGGACACTGATTGCCAACTGATTAAGTGCGGATTGCATGCCTTGGGCATTATCGCACAGTAAGACAATATCGTCCGCATACTCAAGGTCGAGAAGTCTTTCTCCAGGCAACAGATCCACACCACCATTACTTACATTCATCAGAGCTGTTTCCAGAATGTCATCGATGGCAAAGTTGAAGAGGAATGGTGAGATTGGGCAACCCTGCCTAACCCCACTGCTCGAATGGAACAATGGAGAGAGGTGGTTGTATGCCCTCACTCTGCCTGAGGTGTTTTATATAGGGCTTTTAGGATGTTAATAAACTTCTCAGGCACACCCTTCTTCAATAGACAATCCCAGAGAACAGTCCTGTCCAACGAATCGAAGGCAGCCCTGATGTCAAGAAACACTACGATTGTTGGCCTTTGATAAGTATGGCGGTGTTCTAACATTTGGCGGAGGGTGAAGATATGATCAATACATCCTCGACCAGAACGAAACCCAGCCTGCTCCTCGCGAGTCAATCTTTCTCGGGTTTTGAACAACCTACGAAGTATGACGGAAGCCAATAGCTTGGACGCAATCGGAAGTAGACTTATCCCCCGATAGTTGTTACAGGAACGACGTGAACCCTTTTTAAAGATAGGGACAACTATCGACTCATTCCATGACGTTGGTACACTCTCTAGTTCCCAAACCTTTGTAAACAACGTCGTCAATTCCTTAGTCAAAAAGTCACCACCATCTTTAAAAAGAGCCGGAGGTAAGTCATCTGGGCCAGGTGATTTGTAACGCTTCAAGAGTTGGAGTTCCTTGCGGACTTCCTCCTCATTTGGTGGATCAGTCGTCACCGGCCATGGAGGGCAGGACAGTCTGACCGATGTTGCCGGAGCAGCAGGCCAGTTGAACTGCCCTTCGAAAAATTCTGCCCATCGTCCAAGACGTCGATGGATGTTAGTGATTGGCATCCCATCATCCTCGCAGATTGTTTCACTCACACCAGACTTCTTGCTGCCAGTGGCTCGGATGAGCTGGAAGAGCTTCCGGTAGTTACCAGATGCAGCTGCTGCTTCCAGCTCATTAGCACGCTTCGACCACCAGGCTTCTCGGTCCTTACGCAAGCTTTGCCCAATTTCCTTACGTAACATCCTTCGTTTATGGTCAAACTCACGGTCACCCGGAGGCTAGCTCGGTTCGATACTTACTTGCAACAGAAGTTGCAACCAGCTTGCTAATGTCAATCCGTTGATGGCGGTCACTTCGTTGTCCTCTGAAAAGTAAGGCAAGATTGGCGCAGACCAAGGCATGGTCAGAGTCCAGATAGGTACTCCAAAAGGAGCGGCAGTCTTGTACACAACCACGCCAGCGGTAGCTGATCGCGATGTGATCAATCTGAGTCCAGGCTTGAGATGCAGAGGGAGGACGCCAGGTGGCACATTGGCGATGACTGTGCCGAAAGTTATTGCTAGCTAGAAACAGGTTGTGGTCTACGCACAGTTGTAGTAGACGGTCCCAGTTATCTGTCCTGCAACCAACAAGTCCCCATCGGCCACCTAAACGACTCTCTTCTGTGCCTAGACGCACGACCTGAGCATTCAAGTCTCCGGTTAGTACTACAATATCTGTCGAACGCACTTTCTGGAGAAGAACAGATAACTGGTGGTAGAATTCGTCCTTGATTGCATCCGGGCTGCAATCTGTCGAGGCATAGGCGGAGATGACTAAAAGACATCGTTTCTCATGCCGATTTCTCCTCACTTTGATGGAACTTTCGAGCCTGACAGCACATAACCGACTGTTAATGGGGACCCAATTGATTAGTGCTGCCTCAGCTCTAGCACTTAGTGCGACACCAACGCCAGCAAGACCCGACGAAGATGCCACAGGGTCCGCGGATAAACGCACGTAAAACAATCTTTTTGAATCGACAGATGTAGGGCGAATTTGTAATACTTCACCAGAGTCTTAAATACGGGTCTCGGATAGACAACAAACATCAATATTAAGACTTTCCAAAGACATAGCCAGCCCTATCTGTTGTCTGATCTGCATAAATGTGCGAACGTTGAAGGCAGCCAGTTTGAATGGTGCACGTGGTTTCAGAAAAACTGCTTCAGTTCTCGTATTTGGTGGTAACATACAACTTTCAACCGGACAGTGACTCGAGAACGTTTAGATACAGTCGGATTTCCACCAAAGACGAGCCGCTGTATAAGTATAAAAGAGGGTGAATAATGTGGAAAATAATAATAATAATAATAATAATAATAATAATAATAATAATAATAATAATAATAATAATAATGACAATAGTAATAATAATAATAATAATAGTATTAGTAATGACAATAATTGTAGTGATAATAATTCGAATCAATTGATAGTTTTTCGAAGCGAGAAAAGTAATTTCCATAGACATAAAGAGTTCATCATTTGTGTGTGGGCTATGATACTGCCCGGGTGCCCAAACCGAAGCAGGTGGTTATCTTAGGGGGCCACACCCCGAGCCTTTGACCTAAAGGTCTAACCCACAAGGCAGTGGAGCATCGTGAGGAGATGCAATTCCATGGTAGCCGGTGACCAACGATTGGTTCATACGCCATTTGTTCCAGCAGGATACTGGAGCCCATGTGCACCATTGGTTTTGGATTCGGTTAAAGCGCCGGACATTGGCTTTTCGTCCTCTCATTTTCGTAAACAACACCCCCGCCACGAGAAGGCAATGAGTAGGACTACCCTGGCAGAGGCTGTAAATATCAATTTATAGCTATTAAATTGACTCCCGGGATGACGATGACGAAATATGAATTGCCTCATACGTGAAAATACACGGAATACAAAATGCAGATAAATAAGGCGATAGACGTACACGCATACATTTGAAAACGCTCGAGGATCCAAGTGTATAATTGATAAGGTTGAATATGTGAAAGTGTGTAGAATATCGAAAAGATCAGAATGATTTATCTGTCCAGAAACTAAAATAACTTTAAACAGGCGTAATAACAAATAGTCAGAACAAGTGACAACAGTAACTTTATTTAACGAACGTGATATCCTGTAAAAGTGATAAGAAATCATAATCTCAAATAATACTTGGCTAGGTTTGCACGATACAAACGCTTATGAAAATACTAGATTTTAATTATTGTCCATACATTCATGAAACGTCATTGAAAATATTTAACCACGAAAAAAACCTCCGGTCGTCGGGTCCTCAAGATGCAATACAGATCAACAGAAAACGAATTCGTAATACTGTTCGTAACACTGATCCAAAAAAGAAACATTCTTTAGATTAAGATACATTAAACATGCAGAAAACAATACTGCATACTTAAAAAAGTACTTACAGGTAATTGTTGCGTTTCAAAACACAATGATCCTGACAAATTATTATTGACTGATAAGCTAGATTTACTATGTACTATTGAACTGCAGTTGTTCATCGTCGACATAGACTTCTTTGGTGTAATAGAAGGGAAAAGATAAGATTCAGATGGAGGCGGAGGAGGAGCAGTTTGTGGTACAGGTGGAGCTGGTGTTGTAGGTGGAGATGGATTTGGTTGGGTTTCCAATGAGAAACGATGCCCGAAAAATTTCAGCTGAAAATACAAAAGAGTACAAGAATAATGTATAAGAAAAACGTCGACAAACAGATAGATTGCTTGTAAAATGCAACTTGTAATTGGGCTATGACTTAATGATTAGAGCATTCAATCATTAAACAAATAGGATGCATATTTGACGTAGCCATACCTAGTATTTTTATATTTTGTTGTATCCATGATATGCGTACAAAGGATGTAATTTAATTCATCTTGTTACCTACTACTAACATTCTTTAAATCACCAACTTTGTAGTAAAATTCATATAAAATAATTGACATCAGAATAAACTTTAATTATATGGAAATAAAACTACGACTTGAAAGTTAAAGAATTCTACATAACAGAAAGGTATAGTCATTTATAGACCTATGGGATTGCTTCAAGACTCAATATGAATGTATAAATAGTTTAGGGAGTCCAATGATATATGTTATTACGTATATTTATAATGTAGTCTATTTTGCGTAATTGTAAGGATGTACGACATAGTAACTCTAAACGACAAGGTTAAGTTGTCAGCATTCGATCTTAGGTGTATTCAAAGAATAGTTCATATAGGATGAAACCACCCAGGAGAATTGCAGGGACTACATAGTAAGCAGCGACTGGGTTAGGAATAGAGTACTAGGTAGGTATGGTAAACCGATTAGTGAGGTGAGAAATCTTCATCAACTGAGGTGGTTGGGACATATGTTGCGCATGCCCAACCAACGCCTGCCTGGATGAGCGATGTATTTGGGTGCAGATGCAGGCTTTCAAGAAGCTAAGGTCGGCCAAACTAAAATATTGAATTAGTCTATGAAGTCACCGACATGTTATTAAGTACAGACTACTTGGTTGCGGTTCGCGTGATTATCGTAACCAATGGTTAGAAACTTTGAATAGCATGGCTCAAAATCGTTTGCAATGGCATAGGTACATCTATTCTTTGTCTTCCACCAAATCCTGAGATTTTAAATTCCGTAGAACTTTTTTTTCGTACTGAACTCGCCAACTTATATTTTCTTTTTGAGTCGTATAATCGGTGCCGAGTCTTTACTATTATCACTGATACTGTTTCTACATCTACTATTCTAGGATTTGAACTGACAATTTCATCTCGGTATGCTAATGGGGTATGGTAACTTCTATCGATATACATACGTACAGGCTATACCTTTTGCCTGACTGAAGGATAATATGATGTATTATCCTTCGAAAAGTATGGAGTTAATTATTTTGAATGAAGTTCATCGGAAAATCAAAGTTGGATAAAACTAGTTTATGGTAGTTTCAAAATCGTTACCAAACACCAATTTCAAAAATATTTATTTAGCTTTAGTACAACTCAATAATCATGTGAACGTTTGCACATAAGACTCTGAGTTATATAATTTATTTAAAGCCTAATAATACCAATCTGTTGGTCGAACAGAGTTAGAACCAATAACAGAAAGGTTGACAGTGAAGCGTTCCAGTCATTAATTTTATGATTCCGTTCTGGGGTATACTATGTAGAACATGATAAGATTGAGTAGGGAGAATTGCATTATTTTATTTCAACTGGATTATATTAACCATGACATTTTTTAATGATAATCAAGAAACAGTCAGGTATCCACCAGAAAACCTAAAATGCACTGAACTTTCCTTTTCTTAAATGATATCGAGTGTGAGGATTACTAGTGATAAGACTCGAAATCTAAAAAGTCAGTCAGTTACAACGTTAGGACCAAGCACATATATTTATCTGCTCAAGTTGCCACGCCTCATTAGCACAACAAGACGAACACCAAATTCATAGAAGTAGTTACTTCAATGGTAGTAACATCTAAAAGAAAGATCGAATATAAAAATATGATACAGGGAGAAAGAATTAGTTCGTACAAATAAAGGTATGAAGCAATTTTAATCTCACGGTTTAAGGGAAGAGAAAGAGTCTATACACCTTGTTGTGAATAGGGAAATAAGAAGCCCAGGCAAACTACGAAAGCTAGTTCTTCGGACGTTATTTCATTTTATTCAAACCTTGTAAAACACTTATATTTATTTTTGTCCCTATTTTATTCTACAAAACATGAGCTTTCGTTAGATGTATCATTCACTGCTATACCCTTTTTTGTTCCGAAAATATTGTAATTTAAACATAATATTTTGCATCTTATTTTCTACCCTAATTCCCAGTTTCGGGCATAATTGTATTTTTCTAAATTATCGTACGTTGTCGTTAGGATATTCACTTATTTATTCATGTGCATTTTTGCACTAATCCGAATTCAGCGAACTCAATTGTCTTGTTTTCTCTCACTTGCGTGCTTGCCAACCAATCAGGTTCTAGAATAGTTCTCTCTCTACCCCATCTCGAACTCACGCGTATTAGCCTCAAGGTTAAGCCGCACAGTCTATTGCGCCAAGGTCATAATCTAGACTAGACAGATCAAGGTCAAGTCATAACAAAGTATCGACGGGGTAAAAGCGATCCAAGGTCATAACACACCTACACCATTGTGATCGATTCTGAACCATGTCACCCAGAGTCTCCGACCATTGGTTACGATAGTCGCGCGGACCCTAACCAAGTCGGTTGCATCAACCAACGTGGCTCAGGACAGGAGTTTGTCACTTTATGGACTGATGCCACGTTTTGGTTTGGTCACCCCAAACTTTCTTTCATCCGTCTCCAACACTGGTCAGCACTGCGCACCGTGGTAGTCGGTGGTTTCGCTTGAGTAATACGTGGCCCAACCATTTCAGTCGTCGAAGACCCACAATCTCATCAACTGGTTTACCATCATTCCCTAATACCTTGGGTCTAACCTCACTATCACTTACCCGGTGATCCCAGCAGATGCTGGCAATATTTCTAAGACATCTGTGATCAAATATTAGTAATTCACGGGTGTTTTCTACCTTTAACAACCGTGTTTCGCAGCCGTAAAGTAGAACAGGACGAACTGGAGCGCAGTATACTCATCCTTTAATCGATATACGGATATATCGCCTTCGCCACAGGTGACGTAAGTTGGCAAAAGCCAATCGAGATTTTGAATCCATGCGGTGATTCCGTCAGACATAAACCCATTAGGGCTGATCAGACTTCCAAGATAAGTGAAGTTGTCGACACGTTCGACTACTTCACTCCCTATCCTTAGTTCAGGTGTTGACGCAGACCACTCCTGAAGCAACAACTTGCATTTAGAGGGGGAGGAACGCATCGCAAGCATCGTGACATTCTTACTCAGCGCTACCAAGAGACTCTGTATTTTGTAAGCGACTTCACCAAACAAGACTATATCATCTGCGTATTCTAAGTCGATAAGTGAATCTCTTAGAAGGAGAGTAATTCCTGAAAATTCAGACGACAAAAACGTTATTTTTAGCAGTAGGTCTATGCTGAAATTGAACAGAAATGGAGATAGTGGACAGCCTTGATGGACACCACTTAAGGTTGCGAAATCAGATGACAATTTGTCATAAGCTCTGACTAGACTCCAATTCTAAAAAACAAACTAACTAACCACCACTTGCTAATTTTTAAATGTATGAATTCTTTACAATTATTGTTCATGGTGAATATGATAATCTATTGGGAATGAAGAACTGAAAAATCTTTGTATAGATTACATACCGGTTTATTACGACGTAGCCATTTGAATTCTTTTGTAGCTGCAAATGTTGAAATATTCTGATTACATGGCGCTTGAGATGGTTGATAAGATGTATTGCGACGATAAGTCATACTGCTAATATGAGGCGTAGCATTAGTAGCAGCAGTATTATCAGTATTAATAGTAGTTGACGTAGTATTAATTGAAAGATAATTATATGATGGAAATGTTAAAGAAGATTGTGTAGGCTGATGAGTTTGAAAATCTGTAGGATCAATAAAAATTGGTTTCGATGGTGTACTACTAATATTGTAAGATGTAGAATTATTAGAACAGTTAAAATGCGCGCAAGAGTAAGGGGGTGAATAAGATTTGCACGGAAGTTGTTGGGATAAATTAATAGGTGATAGAAATTCTGATGAAGATTTGTTAGTATCGGTATCATAACTTTTGTTACAATAATTGATGTGATTGTAGTCTGTTGAAAGTTGTGATTGGAAGCCAAACTAGAATAACAAAAAATATTTAAATTTATATCAGTACCCAAGACAAGTATTTCACTGACTAGTATTTAATGAAAATTATTACTTGAAACATTTTATACAACAAATTTTACCGTATCATCACTATTGTAACTTTGTAGTCATTACTGATCGACTTCAAAATAGGGTTTCTATAGTTATCGGTGGAACGTGACATGTGGAGTCAAATAAGTTCCTAGTGAGATAGATATCACAGATATTAGAGATAACAATCATGATGTATTGAGAAAAAAGGTTTAGAATATAGACTGTTGAATTCTGACTCGATGTTTGAATGTTATCATGTTATGTTGTTAGTCATGAAATTTGAATATCCCGGATTCAATTCCCTTATTCATCCGAAAAAGCTTTTTGCATAGACAAGTGGGGAGAAATTTTCACAGTTCACAATAAGGAAAATAAGAAAAGTGCTAATGTGTGACTGAACTACTTTGTTTACATACATTATGAAATAATTGTGTCTCTAGTTCCCTAATATACTAATAATGCACAAAAAGCATATTTAACTCACCAACATGAGGACTGAACAAATTAACAATTCAAATAAACTCAAGTGTAATATTGTCTGGACATTTTGCAATCAAACAAAGCTCAAATAGTAATGAAATATTTAAAAAAGTACAATAATTGGACTACTGATTCACTGAACGATACTTAGAAAATTGCAATACACCTGAAGTAAACTCTTTCAGTACAACAGGACAGATATCCGACACAAAAATTCAAAAAACACTGATGACTTCAGAATGATATTTACTAAACGGATCAAATAAATGTTTGGTACGTGATCAGTTAATTTAGGGGATCGATAATTAAAACAGTTATATTTTTAAATGTTAACTTAATATTGGATTCAGTAGTCATCCTTTCTAAGATCTTATCCAATATAGTCTATATGTTACTTTAGATTAACAGTACTTAAATCAAATAACTACTGAAAGAAACATATAAACATTACATAGTGATATATTTTAATTAATAATACTTCGTAAATGGTGTTTTCCGGATAGAAAAGTATATACATATTACGTGTTCGTATGAGAGACCGAAGGTCCTGGGTTCAAATCCCGTGTGAGGGATCATGGATGCGCACTGCTGAGGCATCCCATACTAGGACGAAACGGCCATCTAATGTTTCCAAGTTTTTAACGGTAGTCCAACATCGATCGATTCATGATCTCAATCAAAACATTAACAATCTCCGCAACCCCATGCTGAGATATATTAATATACGATTCCAGACAATAACAACGATTAATTTCATTTTTATGTAGATAATTAGTTGGTGCAATTATTTGAAAGACGATGTGTGAATAATTTCAGTAACATGACAATATGTATTTCTTTCTCAAATAAAGGCGTAAACCATGAGGATTATATAATGGACAGTATTCTTATTTGTAAATACTGGGTATAATGATACAACACAAAGATGTTGTATATAGTTATGTACATTTCAAGTCATTGAATCAACACTTGTTTATTTATTGGAATTAAAATAAATTAGAAATTTTTAAGTAAACAGAATATACCCATTCGTTGAACCAATCTTTTCTATTAAATGATAAATCTTGAAAATACATGATAAAGATGAAGATACATCAGTCGATAAGTAGATGATCTATCTGTTATTGGCTGAAATAAAATCTCTAAGATTACCAGTTCAACTTGAAATCTCATACAGCCAATGGATCTAAGTAAATTTTATTCATAAAACTAAAACAAATCGTTATTTATGTCTTCTACATCATAGTTGAAAACAGTTTAGAAGATTTGATTCCGTGGATGGACAGACAGAAGGAAAGGATTACTAGTTACTTCAGACTTTAAATTATTATCAGAAAGATTGTACTCATTTGCTTTCGTAATATATTTTGGTCAGTTTACTAGTTGTTCTGTGTTCTGATATCAATTCATTTGGGATTCGGAGGTGGGTGGTTATAAAGGAAAAATTATGAAATAAACCATATTAACTGAGTGATACATGTATTAATTCTTTGTCAACATAACAACGTGCTCATATAGAGAAGAGAAATAGATAGGGATATAAATGTTATTAACTTAAACCGAAAAACAGTTTGTGACAAAATAATTTGGTAATATGTTAATATATAACGAGTTATACATTCATTCATTTATTCACTCGATAAAATTTGAAACTTGAAAGTCATTATTCTTATATTCCTTAAATCAATCATGTCTTATCTAACAGAAATTATAAAAATATCAAAAGATGAACAATATACGGAAACATTCATCATGAAGATCTGAGTGCAGAAATAATACGTAATAAAACTCAGACCATTTCCCATATTCAGAAAAAAAACATTTAACGCTTATATATATATATATATATATATATATATATATATATATATATATATTTCTGTGCAGTTATTAAATTATCCACTCAAATAATGATAACTACATAAAAGAAAAAACACAATATCACCTACTTTAGACGAAGATGACGATGTCGTGCCTAAACCACTATCCTCTGAATCTCGATGAATTCGATAATGAGGACATTTAGGATGATGCCAGAAATGATGATGATGTGAACGAGAGAGAGGATTTGGAAGCGATTGTGCACGAATTGTGGAGAATTTAGGAAATTTATCACTAATCATAACATTTTCATTAAGATCTTCACTTAAAGTGGTTGAAGCTGGAGAAATAACAGACGTATTATAGTGTGTTAATGATTCGAAAACTGCATCCGTACTATGTATACGAGTTTTCAATGGTGAAGTATTAGAAGATCCATTAAGGTGACTAGATCTAACAGAACGAAAATGGATTGGATTTCCAGAGAAAGGTTGAAAAATACTTCTTGGAAAATCGATGTTGGATGACGAACCAATTGAAGGACCAACACCAACGTATTGTGCTTCATTATCATCATGAGATAAAGAGCTACCTTCAGGTGTACTAAACGAACGATAACGTTCACGTCTGTAACCTACATCATTTTCTGTCCAACTATTTGATACATTTGAAGATGTAACAATACTAGTTGAAGGAACTAAAAAATTAAAATGAAAAAAAACTAGTCGTTTAAACTGATTTATTCCCATAAAAGTTATAATAAGGTGCAAAACGACAGAGAAATCGCTTTGAATATAATAGAGTAACTGAACCAAGGACAGCATATGAAAATAATTAATTCTTTTTAATTATTTGGAGCAAAACAAACAACGTTCTGAATCCTTTTGCTTCTTTTAGTCGAAAAGCTATAAAGAAATGGCAAGAATCAACAATGGTCACCAACGCTAATATGTTAGATTTGAAACAATAAAGTTGGGATTACACGTCATAAACTTCACTAATTCTCCGTTTTTATTACATAATAATACTGAGACAGTCAGCAAAATGTTATTCAAATGAATAATTTTCTCCAGAAATCCGATTTTCCTTTTATTAACTAGGTTATTTAGTGATAAGCTACCAAGTAGTTGACATTTTGTAAATATATTTATTACCCATGTATACTCAAAAAAAAAAATGTCATACACATCAATGCCTTGTAAAATAGAAAGGTTTTATTTGAGATTTTTATACATACTGTTACATATTTTAAGTAATTTTATCAGGAAGTTTATTGCCAATTACTCGATTATATTTTTATGAGATTTTTATGTTCAATAAAAAAAATATCAATCAGTCACAAGTAATGTGCAAAAGTTGACAAAAATGTGTATCAATCCAAGTTTAAAAAAACCCTTTAATCAGCAGACATATAGATAGTTAACGAGAAGAGTAGTAGAGACAAAATAATAACATCAACTACGATAGAAAGTTAAGCATTAGAAATGAAGTCGGTAAATAAAAATCACAGAATAATACGGTGTTCGGGATTTACAAGAGGATAACAAGTAAATCCATCAGTGTGACAGATTTTGGGTGATGTCACCCGAAATTTTCAACCAAAGACTACGACTACTGTATGTGTTTAGCACTAACCAATATATTAGAATGCTTAACATATTTCGCCACTGGGTTGAAATGTATATGAAGTATTGTACTGTATTCATATCAAATGATAAACTTGTCCGACCTACAGAATATGTATTCAAAAAAAATTAATAAAACTACTAAACATGGGATTTTTTTGAATAGAAAATAAGCTTGGAAATTAACTGATACAAAACTATTACATACTTGACGGTGTTGAACTATTAAACTCTTGTTTATTTGACACGACAGCTGATGAACTGCTTAAGTTGGTGTAAAAATCTGTAAACTTTTGTGAAATAATATGATATCGTTCTAGACATCCATGTGTTAAACAATCAACAGGCTCCATATAAATATGTTCATCAGTACTAGATGTATTGGTAGAAGCCGTTAGTGATGGTGGTGACACAACACCGCTTGAGTGATGCCCAGTATTACTATGATTGTTATAATTATTATTGGTAGTAGTAGTAGTAGTAGTATGTGTACCAGGAAATGATGACGGTTGTGAGGACCCATCAGTTAGAATAAATTCTTCATAGATTGATTCGATATCGTCTTGTTTTTCCTCTTCACTTTGCATAATACAAAACATATCAGAACTATGGTTATATAACGAGGAATTCATTGAGCAATGATTAGAATCGAATGATTTTGATGCAATCAGATGATTATTGTCATTGAACATTGTTGTTAAAATAAATGGATTTTCAAGTTTATTAGGCGATTTAAATAGCTCTTTCGTTGCTTCATCACGATTTGGCGAATGAGAAGGTGTACTGATAACTAATGGCTGAAAATTCAATTTAATTCAAGAATAATTATCATCAATAACAGAAAATTAATTCACATTACCCATACACATATATAAACAGAGAGATAGCAACATAAAATTTTAGAATACTCGTGGGTCAACATACACATAGAAAATCAATATCCAACAATAAACACGACATGAGGAGACAATGTACGAAAAAATATAGGGAAAAGAGATATTCACTCATTTTAAGATAGTGTTAACTACAGTTTTGCAAGTCGCACTCCTACAGTTGAAGAACATATGGAACTGAAAACAACTATCAACCAACATCAAAGTAAGAGTATTCGATACGAACGTCAAGACAGTTCTACTGCATGGAGCTGAAAATTGGAGAACTACTAAAGCCATCATCATAAAACTACAAGTATTTCTAAAAAATTGTCTGTGTAAGATACTCAATGTCCGTAGACCGGATACCATCAGTAGCAGCCTACTGTGGGAGAGAACAAACCAGCATCCTTCTGAAGAAATTAGGAAAAGACGATGGAGGTGAATAGGATATATATTGCGGAAACCATCAAACTGTATTGTGGGGCAAGCGCTAAATTGGAATCCTGAAGAGAAACGGAAAAGAGAAAGATCCAAGAACACACTGCGTCGGGAATCGGAAGCAGACATCAAAAGGATGAATAGCAACTGAAAAAAAGTGGAAAACATTCCCCAGGACAGAGTTCAATGGAGAATGCTGGTGGATGACTTATGCTTCTCTATGAGGGTGACAGGCGTGAGTAACTAACTAACTACAGTTTAGAATTAGTGGCCACTAAAATCTCGACGATAATGTCTAGCTCTGAAAATTTCAGTGGTCAAGGCAGCTAACTTTTAGCCGATAGGTTTTAAGTTTGAATACCGCTCATTTTATTTCAATGTGGACAGATAAATAATATCAATAGCATCAGTCGTGTCGAAAATGGGACAAATATTATCAATAACACTTGATAATCACTGCGTAATAACTGTGAATTAACTGAAGTTGAGAATGTGGGTCTTTAAACTCTGAAACACTAGTATAGGTGCACCTGTGGTGCATGCTACTGATGTCGACAGATATAAGTAGTATGTATCACCAATAGAAAGTGGAGTGCCTGGTGGCAGAAGGTTAAGAAGATCGAAGAGAAGAGAACGAGAATAGTGATTGGTGTGGAAACGAAGGAACAGTAAAGTCTGAGACAATTGATTGACATTTCGCAAATACAGTATTTACTGTATGGTTCTCATATTTTACTGAGATACTGTAATTTTGTGTTCCAATACGTTTGGTTGTCCCCACCGGTGATCTCGATATACCGTGTTTACTGTGAAACGTGAAGATCCTGAATTGTAATTCACGTAAGGTTGAGTGTGAACCGTTGGGATACCCAGATTAAAATGATACCTATGTTCAGCGCTCGATAATTTGCGGTCGTTCTTTAAATGATATCGATCCATGAAGAGGACTATCTCCAAATTGTGAATAATCAGTAAGAGTAAACAAATATAAAAAATAAGTAATCAACGCATTAATAATTTAATTTACAGGAAATCAACTGAAGTTTACAACCACTATGGAACCAACTAAAAAGACCTGTGTACCTCTCCACATAGATTAAATCAACGGGGAATGACCTAATGGACCAAGCCCGTGCTTCGGCCTCGTCATTCGTTTCTACGTCAACAAACTACGACCAACCTTAGAAGTAGTGGGACATACGTGAAAATAGTATCAATAGTCAGTGAAGATTCACAAATGAAGTGAATGACAAACCTCACATGACAATGTTAAAAAAAGGCATCATTAAGTTAGTGATTAAGTGGTCAAATCATGAGAACGAACTCATAAACTTACAGTTACAGAAATGTCTGAAGGTGAACCTTCGATAAACTGCTGATTATCTTGTTTATTTATCCCTAAAAGGCGAGAGAAAGCAAAGGGATGAACAAACGACCATATCAAACTCATAAAATTGAAATTATTATCGAATAAGAGATAATGATGATCGGTTTTCGATTTTCGACAACAATTTGTGTTCCCATAATTTACGAGTTAACGGACAGATGGGCATATTAATGTACAACCTTACAATAGTTCATAGAACAGAAAAGAAATAGGACTTTAACAATGGAAAAATATTAAAAAAGACAAGGGTATAAGTCGGAGTGGTGGTAGCTTTTGAATTTTTTCTAAATCGTTGGTAGATGTAAAGTGACATAGCAAAGAGTCTTTAACTCACAAAAAAACACGTTTCTGAATGTAAAACATCCATCAATATCTTCAAAATCCAAATAAAATAAAAGCGTCATCCAAATATCTCCGATTTTACTCATTGATGCATGATTAAATATTCCTAGAGCTAAATACAGATTATCTCCAACCTACTCATCATTCTGTATATTTCTATAATTTCAAGCATAACCCCATCTAAGTATTAAGTATCTAATTATCAATTTGCTTTATAACGAGACTTGATACTCAGAGTTGAACTTCTTCAAGGTGTTTTCAGTGGACATAGAAGCTTATTACACTCGGTATAATCATTTTCGTGTCTTGTTTTATCCTAGAAACTGAATAAAATACAATTTACCTATCCCATCCAAAAGAATTCCATAATGACCACGCCCATCTCAAATAGTTTTTTTAAGAGCGGTTAGGCTTTATTGAAACTCAGCAACTGAGTGTATGCTTATGTATCGAGCCATAATTACTACATAAGTTACCGGTTAGAAACTCAAAGTGAAGTATATGAACATGGCTTTCAACTTGTGATCGGAAAGGTGAAAATTTGAGTGCTTGAACCATGAGGCTGCCACCAATCGAAAGTAGTGAGATCAAAATCAATTAAAATAATATATCTGTTCGTTATGAATTGCTTTACGCCCGCAAAGACATGTATCGTATTAGAGCTTAGGTTTCATTAAACAATTACACATATACAATGGAACCACTTAGTGAGTAAAGCTGGGGTTAGGTGTACAATACTAGGTAGAAACGATGAATTTATTGGTAAGATTTTAAAGCTTTACCGGCTGAGGTAGCTGATAATCAGGTTATGCATCCCAAGCTGCTATCTACCCCAACGTCTAATCCTGGCTACCATAAGAGGTTAGCAGAAAACTAGTACCAGAGGGCATCAATCCATGTAGTGACTGCTCGTCTAAGCCATATATATAAGTTTAAACTATCTTTTTGAAGTCCGTAAGCTAATCTTAATCTACTGTTGTGAACGCTTGGTAATGTGCCCCGTAATCGATCACAGAGGTGCAGTTGCATCCACTCATCTTCATATAAATCTTTAGTTTAGACGGTGATTAAATGGTCAAAGGACTTTGCTTCCAAGCATTTGGTAGCAGGTTCAACTTCTATTATCCTTTCTTTCATTTGGGCGCTGTTAATACACAAAAATGGTGGCTAAAATTAGAATACACAAACCTAAACTTTTTGAATGAACCACATTATTTTTTTTAAAAATTTACTATTCCAACAGAAGGAATTGATTTCTACTGCACCATGTAGAAAGTTTACGTCTTGGAAGACATAAATAAATAAATGATCAGAAAATCCATTCAATTATAAAAATGCCTTCAGCTTCAATGTAGTGAATGTGTAGTAAGATAATTTTATTAAAAAAAAGCTATCATTCAAGATATTTTTGTGAAATCGCCGGTCGGTTAGCTTACTTGAAAAGGCAAACACATACCTAGCTATGGCATAATTCGACCGATAGTTTCAACAATGAGAGGGCGATAGGAATGAATACTCCTGACGTTGTCTTAAATTTAGCGTAAATTACAAATCATCCCGTTACACATAGCAAACGTTTCCTATGCGATGTATACCCATTATAAAGATTCTACTTAACATTGGCTAGTAATATATTCAAGATAAATGAAGGCGTCCAAGCCTTCATTGTTAGTGATAAGTTTATTAGAAAGTAAAGTCGTTTTGTGAATTACCAATGTATAGTCACACTAATGAAAATCATCCTTAGACCATATATTTATCCAGTATTTTAATTTGGTTATTTATTCTCTGAAGAAGTGACTTACACTAAGTCACGAAACGTCAGAAAATCTAATTTTCTACTCACTGGGATATTACAAATATATTATTTTTATTTAGAAATAGAACTATGCCCAAAAATTCAAACTATCTGATAGAATTTCCAGTAAGTTAAGTGTCCTAAGTCACATTCATGAAGTGATGGTTACTTAAAATGGAGTAAGTTGAAGGAGAATTGAACAGGTGACATACAATGGTTGAAAGTTGAATAGTTAAGATAAAAAGTTAATTCAGAACTTTAGTCATCCGACACTAAAGTTCCATACATTCAAAGAAAATATTTTAAAATTATGAAACATACTAATGTTTAAGTTATCTTCCGGTACATCACTCGTGCAATAACAACATTTATCGAATAATCCAATATATGAATTTCTAATATTGTGTATACTATGTTCCCGATTTTCGCAACATGGTAGTTTATCAGGACTTTGAGCTGGTGAAAGTTTTGATACGAACGTATCAGTCTGTAAGTATTTATTTCCCTTACTAGTAGGAGTAGTTTTTTCATTATCTTGAACATTGATTGGGAATAAAAACGGAGTAGAGTCGATGCCGAAATTAGTTAACTTGGTTGATGAGATGGTCCTATCATTCGTCAATTTCGGATTGCTTTTTTTCAAATGAAAAGCTTTACTTTGTAATTTTTCTGTTGCTTTTCGAATAGATGATTCTTTACGATGACTACATTTTAAAATTAAAAAGAACAACAAAGACAACACTGAGATACAAACATTATATGAGAAAGGTGGTATCAGTTTAAATTAATCTGAATTTTTTCAATAACTGTAAATTACCCAGTTAAGGAAATGAATTTTTAGGTGAAATTGCACTAAATGCTACATCCTGTACAGTGTTGGAAGTATATCCAAGAACAACTATTGAAATATGTTATTGGAGAAGGTTTTGTTTGTGTTATAAATACGTTTCGGTTGTGATATAGACCACTGAAAAGGTCTTACTGATATATGATGCCTGATGGTACAATGTGGTCGACTGGTAAAGTCTAACGAGACTGCATATGCTGAAGCATGCTTCCGAATGAATTTACGTTGAAACATAACACAAACAGCCAGTAAACAAAGTTAACTGCATATACCTTGGAAAGTAATCTCCATTACGTCGGTAGAATACAAAATATCGGTTTAAGTGCAAAGCCCAATATTTGCACAACCAGAAACTACGAAGACTCATAAAAGCGATAAAAAACGGTATATGTGAGATGGGTTGCCGATATCTTCGTTACATGTGTTAAAAAAGACCACACTGATCAGATCCTTAAATGTTTTAATCCAGCTATCTCAAACTTGAAATTTACATGGGAGTATGAATCGCAAAATGGAATAAATTTTAGCGTTCAAGATCACAATAACTGAGGATTATATAGTTTCAATTTCTATCTACAACAAAATTTCTTAATCTGGTTAATATCTACATTTTAACAGCTTTCGGTCAATTTTTTTAAGGGTAACATAACTATGCTCTGATGGTTCACTAAATTATAAATTAGAAAATATTAGGGGTGAATTACCGAACAACTATTATCCGATGAAGCTTATTAACAGCAATTAACCAGTGACCTAAAAAGAATATGCTTGATAAACTTCTATTTTAAGGGAATGAACTAAGCCATCGGAATAGTTGTACGTTAAGAGTTAGAAATTGTGCCGAAATTTCCGTATGCTTATTTAACAAAAAGACTTTTAGTATTTCATGGTAGTTATTCAGACAGTAGATCCAGACTTTGCATCTTCGTTGGTGATACATATTTTTTTAAATGTATCACTGTCTTAAGGAAAATGTTTAGGATATTGATATGCTTTACTCGCTCTAGATACAAAATGTTGCTTCAGGAATGTTTTGCATCAACGTCTGAACTAGTGAGAGGGAGTGAAGTGGTTGAGTGAGTTGATTATTGCACTTATTATGAAGTCTTATCAGCATCGAGGTATTGATGTCGGACGAAATTTCGATACTGATTCAGAAACCACGGTCGGCGTTTAGCGAATGACGTCACTTATGGTGCAGACGAAATTTCCGTCTGTCAATCAAAGGGGATCTATACTGTCCGACAGTTTGCCTTATTCCACTTTATGACAGTAAAACATGGTCTATGAAAGTAGAAGACACATATAGGCAGAAGGTTTAGGATAATAGGTGTCTTTGGAGCATTGCTAGCGTCTTATAGAAAGACCAAAGTACTAGGTAAAAATGGGGAGTTGGTTGAGGTGGTTACAAACAATTATCAGTTGAGGTAATTAGGACGCATGTTATGTATACCTAGACACCATGTACCTAGAGATATTTGATGGTGTAGGAGTAGGTTGGAAGAAAGTCAGGTTGATCAAAGCAAGACATGAGGTCAATCCGTAGTCATTGACTGGTGGAATGAGCGATGTTCGTAGGTCCAGATTACCTGGTTGGGGTCCTTGCCAGCATCATGACCAACGGCTGGAGATGTTTGGTGTAATAACTCATTATCAGTCTCAATTATCTAAATGCATTCAATCTTTGCTTCACTTTAGATTTTGAGCTTTAAAATCACCTCGCACTTTATATTCAGCGATTTAATGTTTCTTTCTCAAATCGTGCTCCTTACAACTAATCTTCTCTACTGCCCGTGATAGTGTTATTACTCCTATGGTGCACATGGGTTCCAGTATCCTGCGGGAACAAATGGCATATGAACCAATCGTTGGTCACCGGCTTCCATGGGACTGCATCTCCTTACGATGCTCCACTGCCTTGCGGGTTCGACCTTTAGGTCAAAGGCTCGGGGAGTGGCCCCCTAAGAAAACCACCTGCTTCGGTCTGTGCACCCGGGCAGTATCACAGCCCGCACACAAATATGATAAACTGTCTATATTTATGGAAAATACTCTTCTCGCTGCGATTAACAATCAAACGATTCACATTATTATTGTTATTATTATTATTATTATTATTATTATTTACTACGTCATTTACTCACTCGCTTTTGTTCCCACTATATGTATCCTTACTTTTCGACTTATACAGCAGCTCGCTTATGGTTGAAATTCGGCTCTATCTAACGTTCTCGAGTCACTGACTAGTTGAAAATTGAATGCTACCACCGAATACGAGTACTGAAGCAGTTTTTCTGAAAACACGTGCACCATTCAAACTGGCTGCCTTCAACGTTTGCACACTTATGCAGATCAGACAACAGATAGGGCTGGCTATGTCTTTAGAAAGTCTTAATATCGACGTTTGTTGTCTATCCGAGACCCATATTCAAGACTCCGGTGAAGTATTACAAATTCGCCCTACATCTGTCGATTCAAAAAGATTGTTTTACGTGCGTTTATCCGCGGACCCTGTGGCATCTTCGTCGGGTCTTGCTGGCGTTGGTGTCGCACTAAGTGCTAGAGCTGAGGCAGCACTAATCAATTGGGTCCCCATTAACAGTCGGTTATGTGCTGTCAGGCTCGAAAGTTCCATCAAAGTGAGGAGAAATCGGCATGAGAAACGATGTCTTTTAGTCATCTCCGCCTATGCCTCGACAGATTGCAGCCCGGATGCAATCAAGGACGAATTCTACCACCAGTTATCTGTTCTTCTCCAGAAAGTGCGTTCGACAGATATTGTAGTACTAACCGGAGACATAAATGCTCAGGTCGTGCGTCTAGGCACAGAAGAGAGTCGTTTAGGTGGCCGATGGGGACTTGTTGGTTGCAGGACAGATAACTGGGACCGTCTACTACAACTGTGCGTAGACCACAACCTGTTTCTAGCTAGCAATAACTTTCGGCACAGTCATCGCCAATGTGCCACCTGGCGTCCTCCCTCTGCATCTCAAGCCTGGACTCAGATTGATCACATCGCGATCAGCTACCGCTGGCGTGGTTGTGTACAAGACTGCCGCTCCTTTTGGAGTACCTACCTGGACTCTGATCATGCACAAACGAAGGATGTTACGTAATGAAATTGAGCAAAGCTTGCGTAAGGACCGAGAAGCCTGGTGGTCGGAGCGTGCTAATGAGCTGGAAGCAGCAGCTGCATCTGGTAACTACCGGAAGCTCTTCCAACTCATCCGAGCCACTGGCAGCAAGAAGTCTGGTGTGAGTGAAACAATCTGCGAGGATGATGGGATGCCAATCACTAACATCCATCGACGTCTTGGACGATGGGCAGAATTTTTCGAAGGGCAGTTCAACTGGCCTGCTGCTCCGGCAACATCGGTCAGACTGTCCTGCCCTCCATGGCCGGTGACGACTGATCCACCAAATGAGGCGGAAGTCCGCAAGGAACTCCAACTCTTGAAGCGTTACAAATCACCTGGCCCAGATGACTTACCTCCGGCTCTTTTTAAAGATGGTGGTGACTTTCTGACTAAGGAATTGACGACGTTGTTTACAAAGGTTTGGGAACTAGAGAGTGTACCAACGTCATGGAATGAGTCGATAGTTGTCCCTATCTTTAAAAAGGGTTCACGTCGTTCCTGTAACAACTATCGGGGGATAAGTCTACTTCCGATTGCGTCCAAGCTATTGGCTTCCGTCATACTTCGTAGGTTGTTCAAAACCCGAGAAAGATTGACTCGCGAGGAGCAGGCTGGGTTTCGTTCTGGTCGAGGATGTATTGATCATATCTTCACCCTCCGCCAAATGTTAGAACACCGCCATACTTATCAAAGGCCAACAATCGTAGTGTTTCTTGACATCAGGGCTGCCTTCGATTCGTTGGACAGGACTGTTCTCTGGGATTGTCTATTGAAGAAGGGTGTGCCTGAGAAGTTTATTAACATCCTAAAGCCCTATATGCAAACACCTCAGGCAGAGTGAGGGCATACAACCACCTCTCTCCATTGTTCCATTCGAGCAGTGGGGTTAGGCAGGGTTGCCCAATCTCACCATTCCTCTTCAACTTTGCCATCGATGACATTCTGGAAACAGCTCTGATGAATGTAAGTAATGGTGGTGTGGATCTGTTGCCTGGAGAAAGACTTCTCGACCTTGAGTATGCGGACGATATTGTCTTACTGTGCGATAATGCCCAAGGCATGCAATCCGCACTTAATCAGTTGGCAATCAGTGTCCGTAGGTATGGTATGTGCTTTGCACCTTCGAAGTGCAAAGTACTTCTACAAGACTGGCAGGATTCTAATCCTGTACTCACCCTGGATGGTGAGCAGATAGACGTAGTCGAGAAGTTCGTGTATCTGGGTAGCTGCATAAGTGCTGGTGGTGGCCTGAGTGATGAGATCAATGCACGTCTAGTGAAAGCCAGAGCGGCTTATGCCAATCTGGGCCACCTTTGGCGCCTTCGTGATGTTAGTCTGGCTGTAAAAGGTCGGATCTACAACGCGTCGGTGAGAGCAGTTTTGCTCTATGCTTGTGAAACCTGGCCTCTCCGAGTTGAGGACGTTAGACGACTCTCTGTGTTCGATCATCGCTGTCTCCGAAGGATTGCTGACATCCAGTGGCAACACCATGTCAGTAATGCAGAGGTTCGGCATCGTGTGTTCGGGCACAGAGATGATAATGCAATTGGTGTCACCATCTTGAAACACCGACTTCGGTGGCTTGGACATGTTCTACGAATGTCGTCCCAGAGAATTCCACGTCGTGCATTATTTGCCGACTCTGGGACTGGTTGGAAAAAGCGGAGAGGTGGTTAGCGTATGACATGGTGTCGTGGCATGAAAGAAAGCTGCAAAGGACTGGCTTCTGTTGGTCCTTCACGACTCCCTGGTTGGGGTCCGAGAGATGGTGCTACACAGTGGCTAGAGACGTTATCAAATATGGCTCAGAATAGAAGCCAGTGGCGAACCATTCAACCTCTAATTATTTCATCACAAACATTAAACTCACCTAAATCTGCACTTATTTAAGCAGCAGTATTCAAAATCCCATAACAGAAGTGATTCCGAAATCTACAGATATTGTGTTGTGTTCTTTTAAATCTAAGCAACTTAGAGTTTTATATTAGGTTTATGCAAGATCAATATTCTGGATTATACAAATTACCACATTATGGGTGATAATCACCAATGAATGACCCTGACCTTGTAAGCCGCTACGCTTATCATCCCATAATATTAACTAAGCATCCCACTCATGTTGAAATTTGCTCTAGCATAAAGTAATTGTTTTTTCTGGACTTATCTGGGTTCATGCTTGCAACAATACACTGACTGTTATGCTATCATATCTAATAGTAGTTAAGATGAAATCTGATCATAGTTATTGATCTTGAACTAATTCGATAGTCCCTTCTGCTTCTTATTTTCATGACTCTGATAAGTCTAAATCTCAGACAATTGAAGCATGAAACAGCAAAGCATAATTGTTCTATATTAACATATTTAATCTGTTGAAACAAACTAATAAGCTCAATAACTTGGTTTTCCTAATTATGTATGCTGATGAATCCTCATCAATATGTGGAAAAAGCTGCCTCAATAACAACAATAGGTTTGTATTCTCATCTTTGAACCATACAATATTTGTGTACGACGGGTCATTATGCTACTTGAATGTCCAAACTGAAGTAGGTGGAGTGGGTTTCAAATTTCTAACCAAATTATTGAAATTTGAGAGTTCCAACTATTGAATTATAGCTGTCTTAGTGGTCACATCCAGTATTCTATTCAGGTTATTTTATGTTCAGAAAAGAATTGAACTAAGGCATGATGTACAATTTACTTTGTTTAAATATTAATTCTACCAATAAAAGAAATAATTTACTCTAAAAAGAAACACTGACTTACGCATGAAGTGGTGAAGGGCCAACTGTCCATCGAACAGGATGTTCACTGCAATTGAACCTTTTAGGTGTATGATTATGTTCACTGAAAGATTTGTTTGTTTGGATGGCTGGTGGAGAAGTGATAGTTATTGGGTTATCATTAGAAGCAATGAGAGTACCCGGTGAGATCATTGATTCTAAAGTCTTTGATTTTGAATTTGAGATAAAAGAGACTTGTTCGGGTATTGTTTCTGATTTTTCATCAACGCTAACCTTACTTTGAGAATCGATAAAGCTGGAAAGAAAGCCTTTCGAATTGGTCGCCAGAGATGATTTACAATTATGATGGCATTTGGTAGTATTAGAAAGCTTTCTTAAAGCCTGATTGGCCGAATGCATAGCCTTTCGCCCAGTGGCTGAAGCAACTGATAAGGTATTTAAAAGTCCTCCACTGAAAGATTTATCCAATGATATTTCTACTGAAGACTGATTTGCATAGTTTCCTGCTACCATTAGATGTGGTGAACTAGGACTATTTGAAATTTCAGAGTTCTTGGAAGGAGTGAAACGACAAGTGTTTTTATGTTTTCCAACATATTTAGAAGACAAATTTTGATTCATTTTGTTCCAACAATGACTAAGGAAGTTTATAACATGATCTAGGAGTTTATAAAGAAATATAAAAATGACAATTCAAGTAGTGGTGGAAAATCAAGGACAGGAAAATTAATAGAAACAAAATTATTAATGTTAGGGTCTAATAAGCCATCATGAATATTAAGTTCGTTGTCTTGGGTTTATTCTCTTTAGTAATGAGCAGAAATAAACAAATACCCCCAAATGCCCTGGTACGGCCGGGAGTGAGGAGGGTCAGCTATCCCTCTCGAAATATCCTCACATCGCCACGTGTATACAGCCACTACAGGAAATTTCTACTCACTGCGTTCTCGTGGCATTACCGTTGTTTACGAAATTGAGAGGACGAAAAGTGAATGCCCGGCGCTTTAAACGGGTTGGTGGACATGAACAGTCCACTTAGGGGAGTTGGAAAACCCTTATTCCAAACCAATGGTGAACATGGGCTCCAGTATCCTAAAGGATCAAATGGCGTGTGAACCAATCGTTGGTCACCGGCTACCATCTTGACTCACCCAACTCTACTTTTTGTCTAACCTATTCATAAGCCGACCAGCACGTTAAGTACCCTACACCAGAACTTTACATTACTCACTAGGCTGTCCCATCATACGTAAGCAGTACTTCGATGAACTCTAGTAAATAACGACTGCTTTCCACTTTCAAAGTAAAACACAACGAACTTGTGAGCATCATAATCGCCCTTCAGTAAACAGACAGATTCCTCGACTAACCTGTAGGTAGTATAAGTTCAAAATATCAAGCGAGACTTTAGGATCTGTGCCGAAATTTCGTCAGACACGAATCCACCAGGGCTGATAAAACTTGCAAGACAAATGAAGTACTGTAGATCAGTTAATAATTTTGCAATAGCAACAAAACCAAAATTTATAAAAAGCAGTATATTAGCATCGACTATTGAAGAATAATGGAATAGTTAAAAGTATTGACTAGTGACAAATTAATACAGCATATTAACTCCAACCAATAACGAGAGAATCGTTGGAATAAGTTGGATAGTCAGTCTTCAACCCATCAGTCCCCATAGATATTATTTATTTATTTAAACACATGAACATTGGGACAAGGACGCGCTAAATAGATATGCGAAACATAAATCATTTGGTTTGTGTGAGGGCTGAGATACTGCCCAGGTGCCCAAACCGAAGCAGAGTCCCATAGATAATCCTAGATGACGAAATAATTTTATCAGATAACCTTGTGCAAACTAAAGACTCTTTAGAAAATCCTTAAATAGAACATTAAGCTTCAATCGTATTTAATTCTGGCTGTTCCTAATTACTCTGAGTTAAATTAAGGTGTACCAACAAGAAAATCACTGGTCGAGGGAATACTTCGGGCAGTATGTCGAATAGACCAAAAGGCATTAGATCAATAAATAAATAAAAAAACAAATCTAATTAAAACGCACAAAAATATTTTCAAGCTACCTAGGATATTTGTTCCGACAGGCATCCAATCGGATGAACAAGATTCACGGTTTAATGAACTAGATGAATTTTCACTTTTATCACATGACATGTTAGGGTACGACTGATTGGAAAATGTAGAGGATCTTATTGATTCGGTGGCAGGATAAATAGATGGTGGTAGATCTTCTGACTTGGCACTATAATCGGACGATTCGGTTAGTAGAACTAAATGAGGAATATTTCTTGGTACTTGATCAACAATTGAATTGACAGCTGCAACTCTTGCTTCCCAAGAACGTCTACGATGTGGACACATTAAACTGGAATATATTTTTTTGTCTTTCCATGTATCAGGTTTAATATGCAATAGAGAACTGTTGTTGGAATTTTTCAACGAATGCACACAATTACAACACTGACCACAGACACAACCTAAAGCATTGATTTCTTTTTTATTGTAAAATAGGTTGCAACACGTGCATGATAACTGATCAAGAGAACAAGGAAATTTAGAAGAGTGGTCACATTCTACATGTGCCTTAAATCACATTCATTTTCGTCAGGTGAGTGATCATTTAAGAGTAATTGAGGTGACGAACTGAATTCATGCATATTTACCCCACGCAAATTCATAGAATTTATAACTCTATCTTGGAGTTTTTTTGATAAGTGTGTAGGCGGGGAGATTTCACCGGTTTCCTGTGATAATTCATTGCACTGTTCTTTATCAGCAAGAGATGGAGCGCTAGTAAAAAGGATTATCCCTGAATAGGGTAGAAGGTGTGAATTCGTAGTACTTAAGTCTACATTGTTTTCTTCAAGTAATATACCATTAGATTGTTCAGATTTACTTGTAATATTCTCTCGATACAACAATAGTTTATTCAATAGCTTAAAAGAAAAAGAAACTATGATTTATGTATAAAAAAAATTATAAACAAGAACATGATATAACGGTAATAAATGGAGGATAGCAACTGTTCATCATTGTTAAAAAACAAGTCTAACTCATTAATTTGACAGAGGTTTCTATATTAACTGAGTAGAAAATTCGTTGTGCAAAAAATTGACCACCATTAAATAATTCATCCCTCGTGGAGGAGCATAGGCCGCCCACCAACAAAATGAACTACTCTAATCCAATATTCTAACATAATTACTGGTTAGTTTTGTAACAGATGACAAACAGGAAGAATGAACATATAAAGTTTTCATTCGATGACTGTCTGTCAAATTAATAAGCCAATGAAGTTATAAGCATAAATGAAATTTATCATCGTATAAAATCTAATAGTTTGTAAACTTTACCCAACAGAACCTAGCCGATAACCTACTATAGTCAACTACGCTTCTTGATGTTTTAATTCAAAATCTTCACACAAATAAACATCCATGCTTTGTTGACGCTTATATACATAACAATCGAGACATGAAACTTAAACGTCTCCTCAACTGACTACTATAAACATAGAGTAATAACAAGTTTTTCTCAATAATGGTTGCAATAACACTTACTTTCAGCCATACACACCATCTACTGTTGGCCATCATTTCTATGTATATTATGTTCAACTTAAGAGGCACAAACGATATGCGTTTGAAATCAGTTGAACAAGTCATGGTAGCTCTTCTTGTGAACAGCTTGGTCTATATTCAAAACACCTTAGGTCAGTACACAATAATATACACATTTCTAAAGTTGATATTTTTTACTTTTCCTTCAATCAGCCAAAAAACATTAAACATCATGAATAATAATAAAGCGCTTTTGACACATTCAAATTGCAAAACAGGTAGGATTGATAAATCACTACCAAACTTTGTATCTCCATTCAGATCAGCTGAGACATGAAATTCGCCATTCCATATTACCAATATTCGAGTTGATGTCTTTTGGGAATGCCAAACCCCAAATATAACGTATGAGAATGAAAATCACTTTAGATCGATAAGTGGTCAAGTAGGAAATAATGTATCATTGACTGATGATCATTCTTTACTTTCATTTTAGCAATTGAAACTTTCGTTCATCAAACCGTAAAATATTACTTTATAACAATATCATTGTATAGTCCTTAAATAAACCAAACACCGATTGTTATAAACCAATAGTCTATGATTGGGCATTTTGCGACACAATCACAGAATTAATCAACAAAGTGATATCCAACCAATAAAGTGAAATAAAGATTAAATCAAATGGATTCAATTGTTAAACAAACTTACTGTATGGTGTGACATTAAATGAATGTGAACTTGGCCATCGTAGATCTTGAGTGACTCCATGTCTTTAAATGAACTTATTATAGATGGATTTGGAACAGGTGTACTGGAGAAACCAGACATAAACAATCTTGTTGTCGGTAGAGGCCATGTAGCAGTTAGCACTAAAGGATCTGATATACTGTTCTCCTCTGAAGCAGACAAAGTTGAAGGCTTCAGACTAGTGTGTTGATGACGATGGTGATAGTCCTGGCAATGATCAGATCGATGATCAACCAAATGCTCTGAAGTTTTTGAAATAAAGGAAGCCATACAGAACCCTGCGCACGACAGCAGATTAATGATGGCATGTGCAGCCAATGTATCAGTGCATATGCATGCGATAGCAATTGATAAAACTAGCGGTGAATGGTCATAAACCGATAAAGGAAGACATGAAAGACTAGGTATTTGAGGTGTACTTGATCTGGGAATAGACAACATACTTTTATCCAAACAGAAGTAATTACTGTTACCTTCGGAAAAGTTGGTGAATTGTCCTCTGGAGTATACAAAATTACCCGGAAGGTATTCATGTGCGAGTTGCTTAAAGAGTACATCCATACACCCGCCACATGAAACAGACAAACATGGTGAACATAAATATGATGATTCAAATCGACAACTTTCAGAGCAATAATCTGTTGTTGGTTCAATACATAAGGCATTATCTATTACTGGAGAATCCATTTCATTGAATGCCATGGGGTTTCTTGCATTTTGGACTGTTTCAACAAAAAGTTAACAAAAATTTTCTTAGTTGATTAACTGAACGAAATATGTTTGAATTGCTACTTTATATATTAATCGGATCAATTGGAATAAATAAATCGTTCATCTGTTAATATACATTAAGAATAGCTGTTTGTTTCTTAAAGATGTCAAATACACAACAAAATCATCTATAAACTATAAGACTTACAAAAATTGTTACTGAAGTTAAGAAACTTAGTATTCAGTTCACTGAGCAAACGCTTAATTCATCAATGAGAAAGGCTACAATTACCTGTTTAAATATAAAATCCTTGAAAAGAGGATCCTCACATCCATTAAAATACTTTGAAGAACTTTTAATTCAATACTCTCTGTAAAATTACCGTCTGCTTTATACCCAACGGAGGTATTCTCTTCTTTATACTTTCGGCTTAACTGCGAATGGACTCTGTCTGGAGCCATTCTAACGTTTCTGCAGGCTTCAAGACCGGATAAAACAAGAGGGTTGGACATGGGGGAAGCAACCCGATGTCGTAGAAAACAACTTTGCTAAATAAACCTTAAACACAAAAAATCACTCAAGCCAGTTAGACTCTGCCCTGGAAGTTGGAAGATCTTCGTCTCATGGTGAAAACCGAGATGCTTCGGAAGTCACGAGCTGATGGCTCTTTGCATAACCAGAGCGGCAAGTAATATAGGTACATGAAATGTCCGTACAATATAGAAAACCGGGAGAACCAGTCAGATAGCTGCGAAGTGAGGAGATACAACTTGACGGTTCTCAGAATAAGTAAAACCCATTGAACCCAAGCTGGAACCGATAAAGATCGGTTTTATGGCAGGCTGTATTCGATCGTAAAGAAATGCTCAGGAAAGGACCTGACCATACTGATGGAAGACCTAAACGCCAAAGTCGTATATCATGGGAAAGCATAGACTGACTGGGAGAAAGGTAAGAGAAGGTTACAGATTTGCAAATCCATATCCCATCAACAAAATGGTTATAGGCGGCACCATACTCTCCCAAAAATGCATACACAAAGCTACATGAGTCTCACCGGATCACACTACAGAGAACCAGTCTGAATTAATAAAATTATTCAGAGGGTTCATGAAAGACGTAAGAACAAGGTAAGCACCTGATATGACTTCAAATCACCATCTGATAGTCTAAGCTAAAACTAAAGCTAAAGAAGTGGGAAATCGGTCGAACGGAACTACAAAAGTTTAATAAACACCCCATTTCGGGATACCAACAGACTCAGCGAATCCAAAATAGTTCTCAGTGACAAATTACAAGCCTTACAAGATCTACTCAAGGAAGAGGAAACCACTCATGTTGATCAACTGGAAAGGGATTAAACAAGCACTAACTTCAACGTGTCAGAAGTTGCTGAGCCTCAAGAAGTATCATCATAAGGAATGCATCTATACCAATACTCTGGACAGAATTTATTTTATTTTAACACATAGATATTAGTACAAGGAGGCACCAAATACATATGCGTCACACAGATCTCATTTGATATGTATGAGGGCTGTGATACTGCCCGGGTGCCCAAACCGAAGCAGGTGGTTTTTTGGGGGGGCCACATCCGGAGCCTTCAACCTGAAGGTCTGATCCACAAAGCAGTGGAGCATCGTAAGGAGATACAGTCCCATGGTAGCCGGTGACCAACGATTGGTTCACACGCCATTTGATCCTTTAGGATACTGGAGCCCATGTTCACCATTGGTTTGGAATAAGGGTTTTCCAACTCCCCTAAGTGGACTGTCCATGTCCACCAACCCGTTTAAAGCGCCGGGCATTCACTTTTCGTCCTCTCAATTTCGTAAACAACGGTAATGCCACGAGAACGCAGTGAGTAGAAATTTCCTGTAGTGGCTGTATACACGTGGCGATGTGAGAATATTTCGAGAGGGATAGCTGACCCTCCCCACTCCCGGCCATACCAGGGCATTTGGGGGCCTGGACAGGATTGGAGAAAGGAATAACAAGAAGATAGCGATTGACAACAGTCGAACAATAGCAGAGAAAATCAAGACATAACCCGAATGCACAGAAGCAAACACACGAGTGAAGAGGAGCATTAGAACCGACAAGCGGAAATACATGGAAGACCCGATACTGACAGTGGGAAAAGATGAAGGAGAAGGGAACATGAGACAACTATGCAACATAACAAAGAAGCTAGTAGGGAAATATGGTAAACTAGAGAGACCAGTCAGAAAAGAGGAAGGAAAACCAATCACTGAGATTCAAGAGCAACGGAATAGGTGGATAGGGCATTTTGGAGCGCTTGGATAGACCAGCCGTCCAAACCCACCGGACGTTGAAACAGTACAAACAGATATTCCTATAGTTGTCACTCCACCAACGATCGAAGAAATCAAGGTGGCCATCAGACAGATCAAAAGCAGCAAAGCAGTAGAACCAGACAATACACCAGCTGGAGCACTGAAGCCAGGCATTATAAAGACTCTCCACGTTCTACTCAGAAAGATTTGGGAGGAAGAACAAGTGCCGGCAAACTGAAAAGAGTGATATCACACCAAGCCTATGACAGAGTTGGTTAGAGAATCCTAGTTGGCAGCCTGTGCTACAGGAGTAACATGTAAGTGGATTCATATTTAGAGACTGGGATTGCTACCTTGACGTGGTGGTCGGGCTTGCCTATCGTGATGAAGCAACCGAGCTATACTGGCTGGAACAACCGTTCCTCAAGGTCCTACCATGTCAGACAGGTCGGTTGAAGAGCGGTAAGACTAAAAGCAACAAACCCAAGGTCCGAAGGCGAAGTCGTACTGCTGACTGTACAGAGGTGTGACAGCAGTAAGGTGTTTCCTTCAGACAACCAGCATGACAGCGATGCTGCCTTCCCACAAGGAGGGGTGGGGTTAGAAAAGGTCGACCCTAAAAATGCACACCTCACCTTACCTCACGGATTTCCGTCTCCGGCGGTAAGGCCCTTTGAAGAACGGAGCTAACACGTCACAAACCTCTCACGAAAAGGCCGTGCGCGACCGGCCTCAAGCAGTTGTCCCTTGGGCACTGCGGTCACGCTCTCAGGTCACTGAGACCACCTCTAATCCAATTTCCTTTTCAGGTACCTCCAGAAGAACCCTTCCACGGTGTGGGCAACCGGGAAGTGATAACCGCCCTCATACCTCTAACAGCACTCAAGACCACTGTATTCATAATCAACCTTCCTCTTCAATTCCTATTATTCCTCCTACATCGACTTTCAACCCTAAACTTCCTCCTTCGGCTTCCTCCTCAAGTGTCACCATAGCCAACGATTCTAGTGCTCAAAACCTGTCCCAGGTCTACTGAAACCTCGCTCCAAACTACACATTGGAGCCTTCAACGTACGCACCCTATGTCAAATCGGTCAGCAGGCTTCCTTGGCTAAAACCCTAGAGTCTCTTTCCATTGATGTATGCTGTGTCTCCGAAACACGCATACAGGATTCCAGTGTGGTCATTCACTTGACCTCACCTCGGCAAAACGGAGAGCCAACGAGATACACCCTCGTGTATCTGGTGACCCGATGGCCAGTTCTCGTGGACTGGCAGGTGTAGGCATAGCACTAAGCATGAGGGCGGAACAAGCACTGCTAGAGTGGATCCCCGTCAACAGTCGTCTATGTGCTGTTCGGCTAAACGGCTCCGTAAGAACTCGGAAGGATAGGGACACACGTCGTTGCCTTTTCGTCGTTTCTGCCTACGCTCCCACTGACTGCAGCTCAGATGAAGTGAAAGATGAATTTTACAGAAAGCTGTCCGAACTTCTTCAGAAAGCTAAACGCTCAGACATAGTACTCGTAGGGGTGACTTTAATGCTCAGATAGGTAGTTTAAACCAAACAGAAAGGCATTTAGGTGGATATTTTAGCATTCCGGCACAGCGAACAGATAATGGTGATCGTCTGCTGCAACTGTGCTCAGACAATCGCTTATTTTTAGCAAACACAAATTTTAAGCATAAGGAGAGACATCGTCTAACATGGCGACCCCCTACACCAAACCAACGATGGACTCAAATAGACCATATTGCCATCAGTCATCGTTGGAGAGGGTCGGTAGAAGATTGTCGCTCATTCTGGAGTACCTGCTTGGACTCCGACCATGCCCTAATACGGGCACGCATCTGCTTGCGCCTCACTGGACGCAAAAAAGCCACATTAAAAAGACCCATTAGAACTGAGTTGAGTAACGAGAAAACCAAAAGTAGGTTCCAGGAACAACTGAGGTCACACTTAGGTAGTTCTGAAGACGAGGCTGACCCAGATGTTGCTTGGAAAGACATACAAGCAGCTGTGGAAACAGCAGTGACATCTATTAGCGACTTAAACCACAGAGTTACAAAGAACCAGTGGATTTCTTCAAAGTCTATCACACTGATGGATTCTCGCAAACTCGTCCCATCAGGTTCCGAACATGATGAAGAGCGACAACAAATCAGATCTAGGTTAAGAAAAAGTCTAAGGAACGACCGTGAGCAGTGGTGGGCAACGAAAGCAAAAGAGATGGAAAAGGCGGCGACTATAGGGAACACAAGACAGCTTTACAGACTAATAAAAGAAACTGGAATTAATAAGTCAAGTGTAAGTGAGATTATTTCGGAAAAAGACGATACTCTCATCTGCTCCCAGTCCAGACGTTTAGAACGATGGGCGGAACATTTCAGAGAACAGTTCAGCTGGCCTTCAGCTACTCTACAACTACCCTCCATTCCCAGACAGCGTGAATGGAACATTGAAGTAGGTCCCCCAACTCTTGCTGAAGTTCAAAAGGCTATAGTTAATCTGAAACGAGGAAGGGCAGCTGGTCCAGATGGATTGGCTCCAGAGGTCTTTAAGGATGGTGGTCCAATTTTAGCGATTAGGTTGACTAATATTTTAGCTAAGATCTGGGAGTTAGACGTTATCCCATCTGACTGGTCACAATCACTTATCGTCCCAATATATAAGAAAGGGTCAAAATCATCCTGTGACAACCACAGAGGGATTAGTTTAACTAATATAATATCTAAAATACTAGCCTCGATAATTATCAGACGCCTAACTAAGACTCGTGAACTGCAAACACGAGAGAACCAAGCTGGCTTTAGACCTGGTCGTGGCTGCATCGACCACATATTCACCATTCGTCAGATTCTAGAACACAGGCATACTTATCGGCGTCCGACAATGGTGGTCTTTCTCGACTTAAAAGCAGCATTTGACTCTGTAGACCGCGAGATTCTGTGGCAGTGTCTGTCATTGAAAGGCGTACCCCAGAAGTACATAAACCTTGTGAAGGCTCTTTACTCGAACACTACTAGTCGAGTCAGAGCTTATGGCGAACTGTCATCTACCTTTGCAACCTCAAGTGGTGTCCGTCAAGGCTGTCCACTTTCCCCATTTTTGTTTAACTTCATCATAGATCTACTGATGGAAATAACTTTCTCGTCGACTGAATTCTCGGGTATTGATCTCCATCCAGGAGGTCCACTTATCGACTTAGAATACGCAGATGACATAGTCCTGTTTGGTGAAGACGCTGACAAAATGCAGAGTCTTCTGGTAGCACTAAGCAACAATGCCAGAATGTTTGGAATGCGCTTCTCTCCCTCTAAATGCAAGTTGTTGCTTCAGGACTGGTCTGCGTCAACACCTGAACTAAGGATAGGGAGTGAAGTAGTCGAACGCGTTGACAACTTCACTTATCTTGGAAGTCTGATCAGCCCTAATGGGTTGGTGTCTGACGAAATCTCAGCACGGATTCGAAAAGCTCGTTTGGCTTTTGCCAACTTACGTCACCTTGGCGAAGGCGAGATATCCGTCTATCAATAAAAGGACGAGTATACTGCGCGGCAGTCCGTTCTGTTTTAATTTACGGCAGCGAAACATGGCCATTAAGAGTAGAAGACACTCGTAAGCTACTAGTATTTGACCACAGATGCCTTAGAAATATTGCTGGCGTCTGCTGGGATCACCGGGTAAGTAATAGTGAGGTTAGACGCAGGGTATTAGGGAATGATGGTAAATCAGTTGATGAGGTTATGAATCTTCATCGACTGAGATGGTTGGGCCACGTGTTACGTATGCCTGAACACCGATTACCACGACGTGCAATGCTATCCGGTATTGGAGATGGTTGGAAGAAAGTTAGGGGCGGCCAAACCAAAACGTGGCATCAGTGCTTGAAGTCACTAACTTCTAGTCTGAGCCATGTTGGTAGATGCAGACTACTTGGTTGGGGTCCGCGTGACTATCGTAACCAATGGTTGGAGACTCTTGGTGACATGGCTCAGAATCGATCACAATGGCGTCGGTGTATACACTCCCTGTCTTCCCTTAAACTAAGAGATTAAAATCACTTCATATCTTTCTTTCTACGAACCAATTCTTTCTTCTTGTACTATATCTCTATATGCAATCTTTCTCTTATATATTACCACCTTTGACATAACCACTGCTATGAATCCGGTGTTCATCTTGTTGTGCTGATGCGGTATGGCAACCTGGACCGATGCACATATGTGCCTGGTCCTACGTTGTAGCTGACTGACTGACTGACTGGGATTGCGAGTGATGCACTTACCTATGACCGGACAAAAAAACGAATAACAGATCTGTTCAGAGTAAAAATGGTTGTTAAAACCCAGTTCTCTGGAAGTTTTGGATAGGAATTTCGAAATGCCCAAGTACTTTCCAGACATATTGACCATAAGGAATGATATTACATAACTGGTCGAAATTAACACAACTTTAAATTTGCGATGTGATTGGACATGTCAACGTCAGTAAAAATAATCAACAAAATGGATAAATCCAAAGTACAAGAAGGTGCTGGCATTCGAAAATTCAAACTACCTATAAACATGTAAAAATACATCTTCCTATTAAAAATTCTATATCAAACTGTATAGTTGGCTACATCATTACTTTGAAACCTCCTGACTGTAATTAAACCACTCAACAAGTACGGATTTATGAGTTGAACTTTGAACCACGTGATGGACGACAACACCAACTCGACATTCAAACCAAATAGATGGAGCGAGACTCAACTTTATGGCCAGATGATCGAATGCTGAGAAGAAACACTAAGTATGGCGAGGTAGTCTAACTGAATTACAACAGACGCATTAGTGCTTAGTATACTTGGTTCTTTTCTACAACATAAACCTAATATACAACCTCTCAACGTACTATAGTACCAAACAAGGACAGCAATGCACAATTAATACAGAACAAGGAAGTGTTATGAAACACAAAGCCGTATCATTAGTGAGTAAACTGCTTGATGTACCTTCCGTGGCAAAGATGCACCATCGATCATTTGAAACGCACATAAACTTGCAAATATAACATTCTATAGACGCATTTATGTTTTGCATTCACGACTTGTTAGAGACAACCCTGCTTTTAAGAAGATAACCAATACGGTGTGTACTTCACATTATCGAAAACCCTACGACATATATTTAATCAAAATAAATTGGGAACTAAGTCTTCCCAATCAATGCACCTTTATTTTCCTTAAACGTTACCTCTTTCATATCAGACTGATCAGCTGTGTATTAATATGGGTTTTGTCATCATTTTCAGTAATGGTATATATATACCAGCCATTAACGTAACTTCCGAATAAACTGTGAAGAGGGATACACATGCTGTTAACAAAACGGAATATATGGGGCCATTTTGTTGTAAGACATCACAAGAAGCAGATAATACACTAAATTTATGTGGTTGTGCAGAAAGTCTTAGCAGTCTGATAAACAAACAAAACTAACCTCTCAAGTCCATGGTCAAAATATCGTTCCATAGACTTCTTGGGATAAATCTGTGGGAATCAGTGGACGGAATAAGCATATCAAAATAAGCTGTAATTAAAGTTTGTCGTTCCGATGGTAGATAAGCCATGGCTTGGTAGCGATCGTCTTTAGATAACTGTTCACTTAACCAAGTAATTTGAGTTTCTTTCACGCCTCTAGGGGGAGCACTTAAATACTTAGTTTGATTAAGAGATACATACAGTGATGGTGCTGTTTGAACACAAATGTTTTGGTCGGAAGTACGTAACGTTCTCGAAGGCAATAGGTCGGGATTTATCTTTGAAGATCGTTCACTGTAATCCCCATTCGCTGAATCCAATGCACGCGTAATATATGGATAACTGTCGCGAAGGTGATCCAAATAACATATCACTGTCTTGACAAAAATCTCGGTTTGTTCAACCAATAAATCTAAAAAGTCCTCGCGTACTCGGATATGCAAACCTAGTTGAAACTGTTGATATATCTACAATGAAAACAAATTAAGTCATAAAATTAGTCTACAGAATCCCTAAAGTAACTAATGAAGAATTAATCTACCATAAAGGTCGACACTTCAGTATAGGTTAGGAGAAAAGAAACATTTTCAATAGTAGATAAGCCTAAAGATGTATGCTATAATCGAGAGCACCAACTTGGTGCTCTAAACACTTAGCTGTTGGATAAAGGCTTGTAGTTTCAACAGTCCATTCATTTTGATGGAATATGTAGAGACTAGGCTACTAATACTAACACTTCAAGTGTTACAGAAGGGTACGTTGCACCATATATGGGTAATTAACAACTACAAGTGTGTAGCTCAATAGTTATTTATAGTTTAGTGTATTAGACTTATTGTGCGATAATAATATCGTTGTGATAAAAGATAATATATCTTTAACATCCCAATGGGTAGAAAATCACTTTTATCACGATTTTCAACTTATTGTAAATCACCTCTCTAAAGAATAAATAACTAAAATAATTATGTGTTCCTTCTGATTAAGTTTCGATAAGTGGAACAGAGTTCAAACCTGTAAGTTATTGTGAGTTGACTGTTTATAATGATAGGCTAGTTTCGTGCATTGATACATAATATACATTGATCTTGTAAACTTAGCAAGGCATAAAATATTCATTTCAAATATCACTCAATCGAAGACGTTTCTATACATAGGTCGATCATCCCATCACGAGTTCATGAAAAATAAAACTTATACGGTAAGCTAACATATGAGATGATAAAATTTACAAAGAGCGTTGGTACCATAGGTCATAGTATTATCTGACAAAATGTCAACCAGTAAAATAATGAGGGTCAGCCTTAATGATGAACAGGTAGGAAAAAATGAGACAACTAACGTGTTTAAACCTCGTAAATTATACACTACACGCATTCTTAAGACATATTCTCAGCAATTTTAAGAAACAAAAACCAATAAACAATGAAATTCTTTCCATAATAGAGATACCCAGGATGATTGAAAATGAAGAATTCCACTAATGAACTTATGATGGATAATAAGCTTTAAACGTTTGTTGAAAAGTATGATAAATGACAGTTACTCATACTCTACATACCTAAAATATTGTCAAAACACAAAAAATATTGAATATGACTAACCCCAGATATTTCCTCCTTAGTAAGCTCAAGCAAATCAAGTGAACTAATATTTGATTTAACATCCGAGAGTGGTTGTCCCGGTAGTATAGCCGTAATACGCTCGTCGGAAAGGTCCTCATTTAGAGTGGCGGTGGGGCAGTTTCGAAATCCATGATGAAGAGAAGTCTCTAGGAATGCCTTTTCTGTATGACGACGTCTTATGTTAGTCAAACGATCCACATGCTGCTTTAATAGACAATTCTCGGATTCAGCTATTGGTTCAATAGCCAGATGAAAAGGTACACGTGAATCGTCATGTAGTACATTATTGAGACCTGTGCTGCAGTTATAGTACGTATCGTCTTGAAAGCATAGAGAAAATTCTTCATGACGACGAATGTATGATACGATCTGTTCAAATGAACTACCAAGAAAGCACAGTAGCAAATAAGCATCATGTGTATTGTATATTAAGCAACATAGATTGAAATAACTGTTATGATATTTTGTTACAAACATGTCTTATGATAATTTACATTTAATTTTCGCAGATATTTTTGTGTACAGTGTACAATCGTACATTTTTTACTGACAAGACATTTACCTTTTCATATGGCAAACAGCTTTATTTAAAAGGCTGTACACACTAGCCACTGAAATGTTAGGACTGAATTACTACTGGTGCTTTAATGGGATCCAGTGAGCATAGACGTTACACTACAGTTTGTCAGGTGGAACGTTTTCTGGTACGACATAGATTGCCTAGACTTAAGTATTTTACATAATTTAAGACCATTCGTCTTATCCTAGAATTAGCAGAAGATTCAAGTCCAAACGGCTTAACTCTAAAAACATAATAACTTGAAATTAATAGGGTATGATAGTGTAGAGGTTAATAATAATTAGGTGATTATTTTTGATTGCCGACTATTCCAGCTTTAAAAAAATGGCAGTGTATATAAACCAACTATAATTTATAAATTTTTGAGAGCTTTGGATCCACAATTATGACTCGCAACACGACAATTTGCTGCAATCTATATGTCACTAATTATATTTGACCTTTTCCTATACAGTTAGGGCCATATGAAATAAAGCTAACAATCCATGTCTTAACTCAAGAAAAGCCTGTACAACATGTTTCTCCTCTAACTACAGTAAAATTAATCAAAGATTTTACCCTTACCAGTTTTGAAACTTTCCGCTATATCTGTTCGAAATTTTTTTCTATGGCTTTTATAGACACTATTTACCTGTAGAACTTGCTCTTTAGTACTAATTTTGGATTTTTGCAAGCTTCATTGTCTCATTATTCTATATTTAGTCCTTCCTATGACATAGCCCACAAAAGGTTTCAAGTATGTCACCTACACTAGTTACCGAGGTCATGTATATATATATATATATATATATATATATATATATATATAAAGCGCAAGGAGAGCATTAATGACAACAAACCAGCTCAGTTACCAAGCACAGATCTGTATAACTAACCAGTAACGCTTTAGCGTCAATGGAGTAGTGATGTAACCTACCTGATCTAAACGAAACGTGATGATATTATTAAGGAAGATAGTCTCTTCGTCTTAGTATAGTCAATTTTCAACAAGTAGATGAAACTTAAGGATAATATCCGATAAGCTTAAAGCAGCCAGTTCACCAGAAAACATTGTATAACATTAATGAATTTTGTATATTAAGTTGTTAATAATAGGACTTACAAACCATGAACCGTGTCCAGATTCGGCAACAGATGCATAAGGATGCCTGGCACTTTATTCAGTGAGTTCAGCCTTGTCGTTCTGAAACGTTCCTCAACTACAGCCTTGAATTTGTAACTTGCATTTAAAGAACCAACCAGGTCTATATAGTTTACTACATCAGTGTGATGGCTGTATCTCCCCATGAAGGTTTCCCAATCAGTTAAAATTCCGGAGGAGATATGAACACTAGACGTGTAAATGAATGCATCGCTGAATTGACCACCTGACTCCGTTTATAAGCAGCTCCTATATATGAAATGTGTCTCCATTTATGAACACGAGTTTTAGACTCCATAAGCCTGTAAAGAGTAAGGAACGCTTCTTCGATATTGACATTTTCATGTGCCGAAGTCTCAATCACAGGAATTTTCTTAAATTCATTTGACTTGAGAAAAACATCTAGTCCTAATTTAGAAATATCACAATTATCCAACTTAGTCAACACTACAACGGCTGGTTTTTGAACTCTTGAAAGGCAGTTCAATGACTCCTGCAGGATAGTTGAGTTGCATAAGTAGCTTGGATCTACACAGTGAGTCTTACTCATGCAAGTGGTAGTATCAAGTATCAAAATAAATCCATCAACCTTCACTTCGTTTGGTCCAAAGCAATCACCGATACTTGAACCTTTGCACACTCCTTTCTTACATGCATAGGTTAACTTATTTTTAGATACCAAGTGAATTTCAATGCTTTTATGAATATATTCTAAAAACTGATTGATATCGTAATTACATGTTGAGTATGGAGGTATTGAGTAGGTTACACAGTCCGGGAACTTCGTGTGTTCCAGTATTTGAAATTTTATGGTACTTCCATCTATCTGACGGCACGCACATCCCCAGTAGAGCCAACGATTATCACTTAGATTGGCATCGCAGGATTGAGAGGTATCACTAATGGAATGAGAATCCCTGACGTACAAATCTGGGTGACGAAAAACAAATCTATTGCAAAAGCATGATTTTCCTGAACCTGGAAGCCCAATAACGCCGATAGTAATGAGTTTATTCTCAGTTAGTGATAGGTGACAATTGTTAGACATAAATGAAGGTCAGTAACTCAAGGTCACAAGGGTAACAAAGAATATCAAGAATCTAGGTTTCTCACATACAATTAACTCCGAGAATCCAAAATGGTGACTTATTGATGCAGGTAGTCTTCGCAATTTTCGTCACATGCTATCTGACCCAAGAGAAAATGTAATTTTTTTCACTTTTTAATATAATCAGCTTTTGTTGCGTTTTTGTCATACCAGAAGCTTCGGGTCAAACTCATAATTAACGCGTATGGACATTTCCGCGTTTGGGAGGAAAATTTTGCGTTGGTTCATTACACATTTGCTAGTACATATCTGTTTCATAGTTGTCGTTATTTCGTACATCCTAAAATTCATTCACATTGTTGCGGTAATATATGCTGACGACAAAACGTTCTATAAGCCTTCATCATTGGTCTCGGCTTCATTGATGTTACTGGTGACACCTCAGTTGAAGGTGCACGGCCAAGCTTCTTCACCAGACCATTATTAGGTACTCTATACTACACATCTCGCCCAACAGTTGTTGATCTTAGATCACACACTTCTCAACACACCGAATATTTTCCAAAATATACCTTCAGACCATCTGCCTGATTCCTGTAGAAGTCAGGAAGGCGGTTTGACTAGGTTTGGGATCCTCGATTGTACGGTTATTACACGCGAAATCGTTATGAAGCCATAAATATCTGTCAATCAACAAAATACATAGAATTGCTTGCATTAAGTTATTGATCATAAAGATTTAGGCGTCATATTGTGGACAACATAATTGCTGATAAATTTAAAAGGGTCACTGACAAAGCCTTTCTGGTCTTGATAATTTGAATAACAACAAATATCCCTTATATTCATTTAAAACTCCTGATGCTGGTTTCTACCGTGTTCATCTGGATTTGGTAGAACATTTACTAGATTCAAATGGATACTCTTATCTTTTAACCTGAGTGGCCAGAAGCAGTAGTTATCAAGGACAATACTGCCGAAACAGTGACCTGCACCTTCATCGAACGATGGGTAGCAAGCTTTAGCTGCCCTTCAACCGTCGCTACAGATCGCGGACGCCAGTTCAACTGTGGACTTTCCCGTTGTCTAACCACACTATTAGGAATCACTCGCTTCCGAACGACTGCCTACCATCCACAAGCAAACGGGTTGATAGAACGCTCTTACCGACAATTAAAAGCTTCACTATCAGCTGCAAACGTTTCGCAGTGGACCGACGCTCTTCCGCTCGTCTTACTAGGTATTCACAATGCAGTGAAAGCTGACATTGGATGCACTGCGGTTCAACTCGTTTATGGAACGACACTTCGACTTCGAGGAGAATTCGTGGATCCTTCGTCCTCTTCAGTGAACATGGATCTAACCTCTTACACAAACAGGCTTACAAACGCAATGCGTTCAGTTAAACCTGCCTACACTCGACCTCAATCAACCGATGTTTTCGTTCAACCTGACTTACGATATAGTACACACGTTTTCATTCGTCGAGACTCGCATCGACGACCTCTCGGTTTCAGCGTGAAAAGGACCTTTCAAAGCTCTTCAACGCGAACCTAAGTACTATATAATCGATAAGAACGAGACCAACGATAGCATCAGCATCGATCGCCTCAAAGCAGCGTATTTAGAAGGAAATCTGATCCACATCGATTTTCCTTCGGTACAATCGAACGACGCGGCTCTTACACTTATAATAACTCAACCGACAGTCAACACGCACAAAGATACTTTGACAGTTTCAGAAAATAAACTAAGAACAACGCGTTCTAGAAGAGGAGTAAGATTTTCGGGACAGTTAAACGATTATTGCACGTAAGACAGTAGTTAACAGTTTGCTTCATCTCGATTTTCCTTTGTATTACACATAATAAAAAATTGAATATGCTTACACTTATATATTTCTTCCAAAAGAAACAAGATTCCTCTTGCTAATATGTGTATACTTAATTTTTTTTTTAAAATCCAAAAAATTCTTTTAAAATCGCTTTTACGCTATCGCATGTGTGTGAGTTTATTTTCTTTTTTCGCCCGCTTTGTGTCTTTACGCGTGTACGAGTGTATTTCGACATGCACTTACATGTTCTCTTTTTCTTTTTCAAGACAGCTGGAAAAGACGATAAAACGAACGACGAAGTTTCCTAGGAACCGAAATTTTCATTGTACTTTGTTTCTTTATTATCATATTGCATTATATGGTCCGTTATGGTAAGGAAAGACGACCAGACGCTGCTAAGCATACCAAGCTATCAGAACAGTGTGTACCAACGACAAACTCGTTGGGTTTAAACTTCTGGCTGGCCACGTCTTAGGGTGATCACTACACCACCATGGAGGGGAGTGATCTGTAGCGGTAAATAAAGCCCTTCGAAATCAATAGCTCTGTAAGTCTTCGACATTGGGTGCTGAACACATCAGTATTAATGGACTCACTTAGCTGAAGATGCTCGTCGTGCATCTGCACTAGATCACGAGTAGGAACGCCGTGCTCATTATCCCCTGCAATCGCTAGCCAGATTAGGTCAGTCGATCCACGATATATTGATAGCCTATCAAATATGTATTCGAACCTCCTCGCTTTTGTCTTTTGATCTCACTTAGTGGGTACGCTTCATATTAGGTGTTACTGGTTAAAGCATTGTCGAACTCCAATGCCTGTAGCATCTTCAATAGGATTGTTTGCATAAAGTTATTAATCATAAAGATTTCGACGTCATATTGAGGACAATACAATTACTGGTAAGTGTAAAGTGGCCACTGACAAAGCCTTGCTGGTCTTGGTAATTTGAATAAAGAATAGTACCCAACATGTTTGAAGTTGAATTTAAAATATAAGTTTCAGGGGTATATTCATTTTGTGGAGCCAGTGAAGTGTCACTGGGCCGTAGCCAAATCATTCGGCAGTCGAGTCAGTAAATGTCGAACAGTTTATCGATATTTGTCAAGTTCCTCGTACCTACTCTTAATAACATATGTCTGTAATAACGTCCTCTGAGTCATACGGTCTTCAAAGCAGCCCTAGTACCTTAATGGGACGAAGGGGTAATCCACGTAAGATGCTGACTTCAAAGCCAGCTAGTTCGTCGTACCATTCTCATCTTAATCCAGTGGAACCCAATCGTTCGACGCAGATCATCTACGTTTGTGATCTACGGTTTTTTCGAACATGAAGCAAATATGCCTAAAACGATTAAACTGCGAGAGCCACAATAGTAAAAGGGAGTTCCGACTAAAATGTCTCAACCCATTTCCGTTTTCCGGAAATCTCAAAAATCGAGATCAAATTATTAACGTCAAAAATATAGTTCCCCAAGTTTGTTGAATTGATAAAAGTTAATTAAACTCCACATCTTAACTACGATGACAGAAATGCCCCATTTATTTCTTCTATCAACTAAAGTTTGGCGGCCAGGTTATTTCGACACTGACTATTGAAGTGTGCCTTTTTAAAACAGGAAGAAAGTGACCACTGAAATATAATATTATACCTCCTCCCTTATGAATTGTAATTCTATCGCTTCTAATACAGATTTATCCTACAGTGGTTGGAGAGCAGTCTGCATCTAACGTTAGGTACGTATCTGTGACAATAATTATATCAGGACTTAATTAATTAAACATCAAGCACAGCTCAAAGGTCCTATTTCCAAGACTATGAGCTTTCGTGAAGAGCGCGTATAAATTGTTTTAAGAATCTTTCGTTATACTCACAAGGTGTCGGGAGTATTGACTAATATTCCTAGTTCATGTGATTTATTTCATCGACTACGAGTATTCGTGTATATAACTCCTAAACAGAATAACCTATCTATGCGACCCTTCATAGAATTCGCTCCCGAGACTAGACGACTCGAATACCCTCTAAACGAAGGTTTTTTCCATTTTGTCGACACGCTTCTATTTCGCCAAATCTCACCCTCCTTTTTATTCTGCCTTCTAGAGACACGTGGATTCTTACTCGAGTGGTGGCATTTTCTTCACTTCAAGTACACGTTCAAATGGTTGTAGACTGAATATAGGAGGTTTCGCTTAACGGGCTTCCGTGCCTAGTAGTGTGGTGCATGGTACTAGATTCGAGTGTCAGAGTGAATATCAACTCTGAGATGGAAATACATCCAACAAACAAGTCCCAAATAGAAAAAAAGTGTGTCCTGAACGACAATATTAGCCAACATCCATCTTTTCTTATATAACTCATTACTAAAACTGAACTTAAAATATTTAAGTTTTTAATAATATCCAATCTTGCAATATATTAAATATGAAACTAATCAACCTTAGTTTATTATTAACTAAAATGATATTCTTAAATGGTATTACTTAAATATGAAAGATACATGTTTAACTATTCAAGCCAATTGTATCAACTTTATGAATTGAAAAGGAAGATCACTAAATTAAACAGATTAAATTCTATTGTGGTGCGTGCTAATTATATCGATGTAAGTAGTATATGACGCGAGTTGAAAACGCAATGTCTGGCAGCAGAAGATGGGGGAAGATCAAGAAAGGAAGAGCGACAACACAATGCAATTTGTAAGAAAACACATGAACAATGAAATGTGAGACAATGGATTAATGTTTGCAACAGGAACAGTGCAGGTTGATATGATGCATTGATATTTTGCAACTTAACAATTCACTATATGGTTTTTCTATTTTACCAAGTAACTCTGTAATTACGTGCTAAATACAGTCGATTGTCCCCATCCGTGTTCTCCTTCACTACATTCGCTGTAGATCACCAGTACCTCCAGGAAGGAACCTAGGTATAATAATGACAATGGAGAAGAAAGAAGTAGGGAATCATAGTAAGACATTATCCTAAGTCCTTAAGAAAAATTCAAGTTGCCTTTTAAATGACTTCTAGGAAGTCGCTTGGACTAGCTAGGCCAGCAGTGAATTCCAGCATTTGACAACTCTTGAGGTGTGGAAGATGTGTCTACAGTCTGTTCTGCTGTGTTGTGTCTCTAGTTTCTGGAAGCTACCCCTTAGGTTTGTGT